CAGATACTGACTCTAACATAATTACAACTAGATTTTTAGGTTTTACAGATTCATGTGCCATAATTAGAGAGCAAGAGCATGATGGGAGATTAAGATCACAAATCCCTCCTAACTTAGAATTTAGCTGTAATTTACTGATGATATTACAAAACTTATTTCTTTCTCTTATTTTCTACATGTTCCTGTGTGAGATAGTATGGAATAAGTATAGTAAATGTTACATTTTAGCACTTGTTTTATGCTTTTCAGACATCCAATGAAACACTAATTTCATTTGGATTTCATGTTCATAAAATGATCAACCAATACAGTATGATAGTTTGAGAAAAAATAAAATTAGTAGCTATCATTCATTCAGCAAATATTTCTAGATTAGCTTATATCTACAAAGACATGCTCAAGACACTTTGGATATAGCAGTAAACATCAAACTCTTGCCTTTATGGGTGTGCCTTTAATGAAGGGCATACAAATGAAAGCAGATATTTAATCATCTGGTGATAAGTGTTACAGAACAAGTAAAGCAATAAAAAGTAAATGGCATTAGCTTGAGTAGTTGTAAATATCATGGGCAAATTAAAACTCTGGTACAATCACATTTGAACAAAGGCCTGGCAGAGATAAAGGCGCTACTGCATCCAGGTGGAGAGATTTTAACTACAAAGGCCTCCACAGTGTACTGGGGTCCACAAGCAGAGATATTCTGCCAGCTCAGTGTGCATATCAAATGCAGTAGATGCGGTTTTACAGGTTTTTGTCAACCTTACACATGAATGTACCCAGATAAAATGGCAAAATTGGAAACTTGTAGAGAGAAATTGCTTATCTGAAGTAAGTCCCCAAATGAATACTTTGGCTACAGGTTCAGAAAGCACTTCAGAATAAAAAAAGAACAGGAGCAGCAAAATGGAAGGAAATTGTAATGGTCTAAGCAAGATACGGACTTAAGATGGAGAAGATGGCAGTTTATGGACATTTTTATTACGATAATGCAATTCAACAAATCTGTGCTCAAATAATCTATATGTTGGAACATACTAAGTGCACAAGAATAAATAAACCATTGCTTCCCTTCAAAGTGTTACCTATCTAAAACACAAAGGAGAGTAAAGCATATCTCAATAAAAGTTAAAAGTCACTTCGGAGAATCACATAGACAACTAAGGAAATTGTGTTTCTTAGGATTAGCATTTACAGGGTTCAGTGGATTTCCATGGTAGAAAATAACAGTTAGATACCTCCAGTCTAAACACATAATTAGAACAGTGACTTGAATAGGCCACAGTTAAATCTCAGCTCCTTTTAGCCCCAACTGAGCATCTTAGAGTCTGTACTATGAATGTGTGCTTCAGAGTCAGAAATTTAGGTGGAGTTTACAAAATTCTCAGGCTTCTTCCAAAACCTCCCCTCAAAGTCAATGCCAGAATGTGATAAACAGAATGCTAAGAATGCCGCAAGAGCTTTGTTGCCTGAAATCCATGGCATGCATCATGGCCTCTTCTTGATTATATGCAGTACCTATAGGCATTAGCATTTCTCCCATGATCCTGTTTCCTCATATGACAAAGGAAGATTATCCTGAGTTGGCCTGACCTAATCAGGAAAGTCCTTTAAATGCAGAGAATATTCCTTGGTTTGTCACAGAAGAAGAAGTTGGAAAAAGTGAACAGTCGTGTTGTGAACTGCCTACAAGGATTATTTGAAAGGTGACTTTGGGCATGCTCTTCAACCCGCAGTCACTCCAGGACAATAGTTGGCCAGAAAACAGACATGATTCAAACTGCTGTGAAGAAAAGTAGTTCTATCAACAACCTACGAACTTGGGTGAAATCCCTGAGCTTCAGAAGGGAATTACATTGTGAATTTATGTCATTCTGATGAGACTCTCAGCAAAGAACCCTGCTCAGCTTCACTCATGGAAACTGTGAATCATAAACAGGCATTGTTTTAAATCACTCATTTTATGCTGCTTTGTTAGAAAAAAAAATAACTAATACACATTGCTTGCCTGAGTTGTGCCCTCTGGTTTTCTAAATAAACAAACTCTCAGGATTTTTGCTTTTTCCTAAGTTGCAGAAGGGGTTTAACCTCGGGCTAAATGTTGTTTTAAAAAATAAGACACTTTCTCCATGATCTTTTTCTAAGTGACTTGCTCTCTATTCTTGCTTTTTTCCCACTATCTACTTTCTTTTACTATTTGAGCAGAGTTTATAGTGGTGATTCCTATAAAGGTTTATCTAATTCAAGCCCCTTGACCCAAACAGATTCTGGAACTTTTGATGGTAGGATCAATGTAATTTCCTGGATTGTTTGATAAAAGTACCATAGAGAGAAGTCAACAACTTTGCTGTAGTTCTGGGTCTGTGCAAGTGGAAGGATGGAGTTGTTATTTACTGAAATAAGAAACATTATTAATACAACCAATTGCATGCATGAATTTAGAGCTCAAGAGAATATTCTCTTGAATGTAGAGATAGCAATCTGGGAATTATTTTTCAAATGCATTATATCGGAAATGCTTTTCAAAGCCATGAGGTCAAACTATTCCCCAATAAATTAAGTCTAAATACAGGAGTAAAGGGACTCAAAGATGAATTCCTAGGACAATCACAATTTTAAAGATACAGAAGAGGGATGGACCAAAAAGAGAAGACTTAGAAGTAATTAGTAAAAGTGTGGACAAAAAAATGAGAAAATAGTAGTCTCTCAGCCAATTGAAGAAAAGAAAAGTATTTCTGACCCAAAGGAATGATTGTTGATTTTTAATATTTTGCCAAGTGAAATGAGCATTGAGACTTAATCATTGAATTTAGCAATAAGGAAGTCTGTACCCTTAACATAGTAGTTTCAGCAGAGTGGTGTAAGAGAAAGCTTGAATAGGGTAGAGTGAAAATGGGAGAAGAAAAATTAGAAAGAGCAGATTTAGACAATTCTTTAGAACAGTTTGCTACAAAAGTGAAAAGAAATACAGCAGTAGCTTGAAGGAGTGAAGAGTCTTGTTTTATTGTTCATTTTTTAGCTGGGAGAATATGTAACACGCCCGCATGCTCACAAGGATTGCACAATAGAAATGAAACATCAAAAATGCAAATAATGGAAGAGAAAAATTACTGCTATAACACAAGTAGAAACAAGCCCAGTCCATCCACTGAAACAAAGTGAAGGCAGGTTATATAGGTTTGAATTCAGGTCAGTAGCTGGATGCACTGGTGAAAGCTAGAGGTTGGAAGAGATATGAAATTTAAAATAACCACCAGTAGCTTGCACAAGCCGGAGCCTCCCTGGGCAGCACTAAGGAGCAGCTTGCGGGAAGACTAGGTTGTTTCCAAGTAAAGTCAATCATGAAGAATTTAGACAAGGCTGCGTTTTTTTTTTTTTTCAGTTGTACATAAAATACACACTAAGCCAATGGAGTTTAAGGTATATGGAAGCAAGTGGTCACTGGAAATGATTGCCCATGAAATATAAGATTGGTAAGGGGAAAGTGAGAAAATGATATGTCTAAAGAAATAAGGAGAAGTTATGAAGTGGAAGGATAGATGCAAACATAGATGGGATAATATCTACTGTAGCTATCATAGCACATAGAAAATGTACACATGAAAATGGGCTTTATATTATTTTTTAAGTGATAAAATGGCTCTTAAGTAGTGGTGTGGACCCAGTAACGTTGAAGTCAGAACTCTGGAAGAAGTGATTGGAAATAAAGATGGAGGGCATAGGGGCATGGCAGGTTGACAGAAAGTGGTAGAGACGGGGCTATGGGATGATGCCAAATGTGAGTGACCATGGGAGTAGGGCGGATATGCTCAGTGTGGGATAAGGAGGTAGTGGAAGCAAGGGATGAAGCTATTGTCTTGTTGCAAGGAAAAATGAAGAAAAAAAGAAAGCACGAAGAGTGGTGTTAGAGACCTTGATAGTCAAAGTGATTAAACTCTTCAAAAAATGAGGGAGAAGGACCCAGAATAATAAGCTACAAGTTGGTGGCATTCATTGGACAATAAAGCAGCAGTAGCAGCAAGAACAAAAATGATACTAGCCACTCGCCTCCCGCAGCCCCCACCAACCCAGAGGTGCAGAAAATGTGTGAAAAGAGCTTCCATTTGAGAAGGTTCTGGAAGCACGGTCCTCATGGGAAGGCTAGATATTAAGGAAGAAATTGTTCTACTAAGAATCTAAATTAGTTGGTTACTGCACCTGAATGTTAAATTGGGTTCTACACCTCCTGGCAGTGAAAGTTTCATAAAGTGAGAAATGAAAGCATATCTAGTCCTTAGGATCTGACAAAAGGAGGCGTATGATTTCTTCTAAACAGACCAACATTTTTGAAATTCCAAGAAATTTTCCCTCCAATCTATAATCATTTTTCTATATCAAATTTATAACAAAGCTTGAAATACAGAAAGAACACAATTTAATATCCATTTAACTGAATTCATCTAACACAAAGATGTTCATAATGAAGAAAATCTTTTTAACATCGGTTTTTCTAGGTAAAATTCTTCCTTAAATCCTAAAATAGAGCATAGTTACGATGTTTCTGTCCTGATATTAGTTTTAAATCTGTGAGGGTCTTTTCAAACGTGAAAGTGATTACAAAATTAGCTTTAGAAATTCTTTTTTCCTATGGACATAATGTAGAGGGCATTTTAAGGTATGAGAAAGTTAATAGCTCTTAGTATTAACTTTTATTCTTTCATGTTGAAGAGGAAAATCTGCCATTTTAAAAAAATGCAAAGCTAATTAAAGCTTTTTCACTGTTTTATTATCTAAATGTAGTTGCAAATTCTGACTTAAAACTCTTATCAGAGAAAGACTCAACATCCCTCCATGAACAGCAAATGAACATTCAATTAACGCTTCAATACAAGTGTATTTTAAATAAAAAAATATACTTTATTGTTAATCTCATTCTTTGTAAATGCCAAAACCTAATTTGAACAATTCCGAGTTTCTTCCATTTTATTCTTAGGGGGAAAAAATGTTTTCTCTATTTGCAGGGAAGACCTGAGTTCTCTGAAGTTGTCACAAAGTTAGAAGAATGTCTCTGCAATATTGAGGTAAGACCTTTGGCTCATGAAGTATGTCCTTCATGAAGTATGTCCTTAAAGAAAGCCTCTGAATTCCCAAATGTCAGAGAATGTAGGTGATACGGTTATTACAGAAAGGTGCTTTGAGGATAAATCCTATTCAGCAATTCTACAGAGTGGAGAAGTGACTGCATCTATGGGGGTAAAGGTAAATTTTTGGTGAATGTGGACCCTTCCAATAAGTAATGATGCAGCTTAGGGTATTGATATGAGAAAATTTGAAAATAAAAATAAGCTCCCATTAGAAAGTACATATTTAAATCAATTGTTTTCCTGCACAAAAGTTCCCACGAGCCAAGAAACGTAAGCTAGAATATCAAGCCATTATCTATTTATATTTAATAGAAAAGAACAAATTATCACTAAAACTAGTGCTGAGCTTAATTGCTGAAATTTGTTTTTTCACACCTAACATATGTTGTTGAAAGTGATATACGTTTGTAATCAGGTTAACGGCATTTTCTGCCTTTACTATCAAGGAGCTGTTTGCTTTAATTTTCTCTATAATTGCCTTAATTTTCTATACACCTGGTCAGAAGATCACATTTGCAAATAGACAAGGGAGCCAAAACATAAGCACTAACTCAAAAATAGTGTATTCTCCAAAGCAATAGTGTGCTCTTGGAGGAGCTAAGGGACGTCATAAATACAGGATCGCATACATATTTCTGTATGCTGAAAGTGACAGAAACTGGAGAGCATCCATTCTATACATACAACTAACTCTTAACATGTAACCATCCAAGAAAAATTATCTTCTAAAAATGCAAACAAACCTCAACTAAGAATTTCTGCAGTCTTGTCTATTGTGAAAAGATCCCAGGTTTGTAGTTGCAGACTGCAGAGTGTGGCTCTGTTTCACAACTCCGCACTGGCTTGTGAAAGTAAGGCTTTTGTGTAGAAAATTGCTTCAGTCTTTTTAAGAAGACAAAAAGCCTATGAACAAAAAGATTTTTTTAAAAAAGTTTAGTGTGTCTCTTCTTTCCTGAAACTTAGAGAAAATAGGTATATGTAGTGTACTCTCAGTTTAAATCATTGTGTTTGGACAGAGTAATTGTTACTAGCCTAGGAACACATCCCATTACTTCAGAGGTTGGATTTCAGAATACAGACAATAGCAGAACCTGTTCATAAATGGGTAGTGTGTAAAAACTGTACTAGGGGCCTAACACGATAACATAGTGGCTAAGGTCCTTGTCTTGCATGCACTGGGATCCCATATGGAATCCAGTTCATGTCTGCTTCCCTTCCAGTTCCATACCTGTGGCCTGCGAAAGCAATTGAGGTTGGCCCAAGGGCTTGGGACCTGCAACTGTGTGGGAGACTCAGAGGAGAGTCCTGGCTTCTCGCTTCGGATCATTAGCTCCATCCGTTGCAGCCACTTATGGAATGAACCAGCTGAGAGAGGATCTTTCTCTCTTTATCTCCTTCTCTCTATATTTGCGTTTCTAATAAAAATAAATACATCTTAAAAAAAAGAAGAAAGAGAATGTACTAGGTGTGGTAGTACTAAGGAATGGGCCAGAGTGAGCCTAAGGGGACTTTTATACATTCCACAACATTATACCTTTTCTTCAATTTTTCAGTCAGTGGTTTAGACATAGGTGAAGAGGGCTCCGCTCATCAATATTTGAATATACTGCAGTTGAAAGGGCTAGAAAATAATTAAAAGATTCTGGAGTATCTTGGAGAATAAAGTTAGCTTGACATGCCAGAATAAATTTTGAAGTAACAGTAAAAGCATCTGATGAGATCAGCATAGTAGAGGAATATCATGAATATTAGTGGGTAACAAACTTTTTGAAGGAAGGTTGGGCATTTGGGTTCATGGTTATGCCATTGGTTGGATTGCAGCCATCTTATCTAAGAGGATTCAAGTTCTTGATCCAACTGTGATTCAGATTTCCTACTAACGCAGACACTGGCAGTAGGTGATGACTCAAATATCGGGATCCAGGCCACCCACATAGGAGACCTGAAATTAATATCAATCTCCTGGCTTCAGCGAGGCCCATTCCTTGTTGTCACGGGCATTTGGAGAGTGAACCGATGAATCAGCCCACCAATTCTCTGTCTTTGTTTCTTTCTTTATCTCTGTCTGGGAGGGAGAGAAACACAAAGAAAGGGGGAGAGAGAGTCACTGACTCACAAATGAAAAGAATAAACTTATTGGAAAGTACAGTACAAAATGCCAGTCTGGTTACAAAACAAAACATTGTCATTCCTGTTCTGAGATGGCCAACAGTACCCAGTTGTGCACTGTTCCAACCCTTGTAAAAAAAAATAATTAGGGTTAAAATCCTCTCCTTGAATGCACCAGGATCCCATATGGGCACCAGTTCTAACCCCATCAGCCCTGCTTCCCATCCAGCTTCCTGCTTGTGGCCTGGGAAAGCAGTTGAGGCTCCTGGGTGGGAGACCTGACAGAGGTTTCTGGCTCCTTGCTTCAGATCGGCTCAGCACTGGCCATTGCAGTCACTTGGGGAGTGAATCATCAGAAGGAATATCTTCCTAACTGTGTCTTCCTCTCTGTATATCTGACTTTGCAATAAAAATAAAGAATTAAAAAAATAATTAAAATAAAAATGCATTTGAGAGGCAAATGATTAGAATGGTGAATGAATTAAAAATAATGCTATGTGAGAACCTGTTAGAGTGACCAGGGATTCTTATTTCAAAGGAAAAGAAAATTAGTGTGAGTCTAACAGCTGTTCTTAAACATCTGAAGAACTATCATGTGGCAAAGGAATTGGCCTAGTTCTCTGTGGCAGAACACCACTCAGACATTAAAGACTCTTTTATCACATAAAATAGATGTATCCTTAGAAAAGTGTGCAAATCCATTTTATGTAAAGGAAATAATTTCAGCTATATTGAAAGGGTATTGCCATAAATCATATTGCCGTCATAGAGAATGTGACGAATCTTTTGATCATTGAACAATAATTCCTAAACATCTACTTTATGAATTTGATTTGGACCTGCTGATTTTTTGGAAAGAGCATAGATTAACAGGCCAGCTCTCAACATAGAAGTAGGTCAAAAAAATAAATTAAGCTAGCCAGGTGTTGCCATCAGAGGCTGAAATGAAAAGCCAGAAGCAAGCTGTGATGAATAGAAATTAAAATGTGAGGAATCCTGGAATAGAAAGTTAAATTGTATCTATATTCTATCTGTGCCTTTACACCTACTGGATTTGTTAAGTGATTCAAACTACTCCTCATTCCCTTAGCTGATGTCTCCTGCATCAAGTAATAGCAGCGGCTCTCTCTCACCTTCTTCATCCTCTGACTGCCTGATGAGCCGGGGAGGACCTGGCCGAAGCCATGTGGCAGCTCTACGGAGTCGTTTTGAGTTGGAATACGCTTTAAATGCAAGGTCCTATGCTGCCTGGAACCAAAGGTGAGTGGTCATCTAGCAACTGCCTTACCCTACAGCTGGATTCCAGGGACCAGCATGGTGGTATAGTGACAAGCTGCCACTTGGAACACTCACATCCCATTATTCTAATGCCTGGTTTAAGTCACAACTACTTGAGTTTTGAGCCAGTTCTCTTCTAATTCATCCTGGGAGGCAAAAGATGATGACTCAAGTGCTTGGGTCCCTGCCACACACGGAAGACCTGGATGGAGACAGTTCATTGTATTATATTCTAGTGCATGCCTAAACAGATTATGGAAAAATGTGATCATTTGATTCAATACCTACTTTACATTTGCAGTAGAATGGTATGGGTCTGGTGGAACCTGTTGGATGGTGTTGCCTTCAACACAGTCATCTTTGGAAGAAGAGTGTTTATTTCAGGGAAGCTGACCTTACTACAAATGTATCTAGAAACCTCTCTGGAAATTGTCAGCTTGTAAACTTCCTTGATGTCAGCAAGTATGTGTTCATCTGAGAGACTATTTTTTTAAGTGATTTAATGGCTAAGGAGTATTAGAAAGCAAATCTGATTAATAAAATGGGTGATAGAACTTGGTACAACCTCAGCACTTCGTGGGAAGGATAAACAATGAAGCCTCACTACAAAGTTGCGAGGTCTGTATTGCTTTCATGACTTCAAAGATAACCTGAAAGAGGAATTCTAAGTGGTTTTGGCAGATGCAACCTCATAGCTCAAGAGTATGGTCTCCCAAGGAAATAACTCCAGTTACAGTAATTCCTGAGTCCATATATTCTAATATATCTATTCATTTTCACTCACAGAAGTAGGAGGAGAAAACTCAAGTGCCATGATTTGTCCTGAGGAAAGTATATTATCTACTACTTAAAGAGTTAAAATAAAAAATACTTGATAGGATATGATGTCCACATTACCCACGTCATCCTCCCTCCCATTTGCAATGAGTAATTTCCCATACCCAAGACTCTCCAGTTTGGAAAAGCGGGTCAGGACAGGTCTCTAGAGTCTGGATAAATGTAAATCAAGGGCATCAGAGTGTGTTTTCAATGGCTCCCATTATCCAAAAGACACAACCACCAACTCACACAAGTAAACCTGCTATAAAATCACAGGACAAAGCTGTGGTAGAGGAGGCAGTTATCTTCCAGCAGCTTTCTGTGGTACAAATTCACTAGCTTCTAGATGACAAGTGAATAGAGTCCCTCGAGAGGACAGTCAGTGGTATTGGGTTTTAGTGCACACTTAGTACACTATGTTTCCAACTTGGCCAAAGGCAGCAAAGGTGCAAGACGCTGCTGGAACTGACATGAATTGAAACAAGGCATATCAGCTCATAGTGGCAAAACAATTTGTAGAATGTCACAATCACAAGGCAGGCCATTTGCCAATCAGTGAAGTCAAAGAACAGTCAATCTCACTTTTTACACTTCTTATAAAATGTTTCTTTGAAGATGTCAATAAGGATGTTCTCTAAATCACCCTATGCTAGGTGAATTAGAAATACAGTTAAGGTGGTGATTGATGGGGAGCAGAAGAAACAGATTCTTGTACTCAATTGTTTATAGTAGCACCATTCACAATAGATAAAAGATGGAAATGGCACAAACATTCATCAAAATAGGAATCAATAAATAAAATATGATAGCTATGCAATGGAATACTATTTAGCCTTGATGATGAGCTTTGAATGAATACGAAATAAAAGAACCAGATACAAAGGTCACATATTATATGATCATGTGTATATGATTATCCATAATAGGTGTAACAGGCATATTACAAAGAAAAAAATAATATACTCAGTGGCTTAAGCAATAGAAATGTATTTCCTCACAGCTCGTGAGACTACAAGTCTAAGATCAGGGTACCAGCCAGATTGAGTTCTTGTGAGGCTTCTCTTTCTGGCTTCTGAGAGTCCGCCTTTTCTCTATGTTCTCAGACGGCACAAAAAGAACTGTGGTATCTCTTCATCTTCTTATAAGGGCACCAGTCACTTTGGATCAGGGACCCACAATTATGGTTCATTTCGTCCTGATTACTTCTTCAAAGGCCCTGTCTGTTTTAGAGGGTGCCGCAGCTAAGCAAGTCAAATCACTGCTTGGGATACTTACACCCCATATCAGAAGGCCTGGGATGAAGTCTGCCCTCTAATTCCAACACAGTTTTTTATGAATATACCTGAGAATAAGCTAGTGAGGGTAGTTGTACTAGGATCCTGTCACCAACATGAGTGTCCCTAATGGAGCTCTAGACTCCTGGCTTTGGTTTGACTGGTATAACCATAACTGTTTTAGGCATGTTAGAAATGAGCTAAAAGATGAAAAATGCTCTCTCTCTCTCTCTCTTTCAAATAAATAAATAAACAAACAAACCCTATGGAGTAAAAGACATGAATGTTGAAATGGAGCCATAGTCCAATCCATAGCATAGAAAAATCCTTAAAAGCACAGAGCAGATTGAGGGAAAAATTAGGACTAACTGCTGAATGGCTATCAAAAGGCTAGTTAATGATAACAAAAAAGATTTTAATTAGGCAGCAGTACTGCTGATGAAATATTTTAATACACTAATTGCCACTGAATTGATCATCTTAAAATAATTAATTTTATGTTTGATGAACTTTACTTTAATGCAAGGAAAAAGCCAAAAATAAGCAAATGAATAAATCAGAAAAAGCAAAATTTTTTACTATGTTCCACATCTATAGAAGAGCTTTCTGTTTTCATGTCCCAGTGCCCAAATTATCTCTATCTCTCAGCTAATTGCAAAGATTCAAGAAGAAATACATCAACCATCTCTTTCTACAACACTTCTGTTAAATACTTTATCACAAATTGGAGGAAATCTAACTATAAGCATCTATCCATTTCTCATATGTGCAAAGCCTGATCTCATGGGAACATGCTCAAGCTCTGGCATTCCACTGGTGAGTCACATAGGAAAGTCTAATGTCAACAGGGAGAAAAAAAGATCCTTGATCTCCAGAGAAAGAATTGTTAAGTCACATAGCAAGGGATATTAAAAAACAATTTTCACAAATGAGATTGTGATTGACCTTTTTGAAATAAATTGCCTTTTCCTATCTAAGCAAATGTGGGTAGGGTCATGTTCCATTAAGATAAATGTTGCCATGAGCCTTTGTTCTGTATAGAGAGAAGGGAAAGCCATGCTGTATGCTGATGGATACTTCCTGAGGTTCACTGCAACTCAGGGAAAACCAGAGAAGCTTGGTTAAGAATCTCTGTGCTTCTACATGCCTGTATGTATGTCAGAATATTGCATTATGGGTCTTATTACACATGTGCACATACGCACATATATACACACACTATTGTCAAAGTAGCTGCTTTAGTTTCTTGAAGGTGGGGAAGAATACCTGCAGTTAGAAAAATTATTATACAATACATAAAATATTATACAGCTACTTTTTTGCCATATTTATTACTTTTCCTGGCCTAACTAGTGTTGCAGTTGCAGCAATGAAGAGATGGGAGGACTGAATCACGAAGCCTTTAATCTTTGGGATGTCATGAAGTTAAGTATCAGCAGCTTTGATTGATAACCAGGCAAACTGGACACAATGCTTTATTGGATTTCAGTGTCTCACATCATTTTATAAGGAGCACGTAGGGCAAGATTAGATTAAGTTTGGTCACATCACTGTCTTCTAGTTCCATCCCCTGTTCTTATTTTCTACTCATGGCTTTTAAAAATACTTCTTTGAACAGTCAGATTTTAATGTTTCTAAAGCAGTCCCTTGTGTTTTGTAGGCTTGAGACAAAAGTTTAGCTGATACACTGTAGAAACAGACAGATCCAAGTTTCAGCTTTGGCTTTGCCATTTAACCAGCTCAGTAGCCTTTCTTAACTTATTTAAATATTGTATGTAAAATACAGAAAATAGTACATCCCCTGGAATCATTATAACGAGGTAACAAAACTTCTCCCACTTTTAAGAATCGAGAGAGGTAGACCACTATTGATAAAAATAATAATAATAATAAGATATTTTTAGCTACTCCCTTCAATACTCATAAGGTTTTTATAGCCCTCCGACCCTCCAGAACTCTGATAAGCATTTGTCTAACTACTAAATGTAAGTTTGTCTTAACAGTTTAGCACATTCCCACATTTTTGCTCCAAGGGTGAATTGAAGTTCAGTTAGTTGTAAGATCCTTTCATTAAGTTCAGTGTTTATACTGCTTGGTATCTAACTTTAGGAATAAAGCATTAGGTAAGCTGTAACATGTACCAAGATAAAATCGTGTCTGTTTTATTCATTACCACACCCTGGGTATCCAGCAGTACAATTACTGAAAGTCAGTAAGTAATGAATATTTGTTTAGTAGATAAGGAATTGGATTAATTGGCTCAATGAATGGTAATTATTATTAACATGGGGCATAACTGGTGAACAGGCTTTAAATATTTTCTCTATTATCTTCACTAAATCACTATCTACTAAATGCTGAATGCCATTTTAAACATTTTGAATAGTCATTTATTTAATCCATGAGAAGCAGATATTCTTATTTTCATATATGAAAAAAAAAAAACTGAAGCTCAGGGAGGATAAGAAACTTCCCTAAGTTAAACAAAAGCAAGTCAGACACAGAGTTGGAATTCTCATCCAGAACTCACCAGTGCTTTCTGACTTTCCCTGCTGCAGCCATGTCACATTCCAGAAGCTTTCTATATTTTGCCAATAGTTGTAGCTGCTGGACTCCTTCCAATTTCTTCCGAAAGTTAATCAGAGACACAACTCAGCTATTCCCTCCAAGCCTGCCTTTTCAGTTCATGTGTATGAAGGCAGGGGAAGGAAGTGAGATGAGTAATCAATAGGTTCCTGAAGTCAAAGAGCCCAAGGAAATAAGAATTGATAAACCAAATGTAGCAAGGCTACGAGTTTAACAAGTTTCATGACAGCACTTCTCAGGTTTAGCTTCCCGTTGGATTCATCCAGGGGTGCTTTTACAAGTATCACTGCCCAAGATTAAGTA